ATTTGGCTTTGCGCGCATTTGTTTACGTTTTTGCAGAAACGAAATGTAAAACCACATGGCTCATTCAAATACTAATCTAATACTAGTGTGGAAACTACAGTAGAGATACTGAGCAAGCAACAGTACTAAAAAAAAACTTTCCTGAAGCTTTAGAATGATCTTGAGCTGTATGAGAACAAGTATAAGAGCACTTAGACTAGAATACGCCCATGGACCACTGAGGATTACACACATTTAAGACTTAATTTGCCACGTTTACAATAGAGCTTTAATTCCGAATAAAAAATAATTAAACTCTGAATATAAATGAATTCTGCTTTTAAAAAAGACCACGTAAACACTGATTATTTGGAATTAAACTTAATCCTGAAGTATTCTGATTTTAAAGCCAAATTAATTTCTTCCTCGATCATGTAAACGTTTATTCTTCCGGTCGTTCGTGCTCGTTGGGTCGCCCTTCTGACGCGATCCGGACGATTCGGCTCCAACCAGTCCTCACTTCGGACTTTCATCCACGTCTCTTTGGATTTGCGAGCGGGATGCGGGAGTGGGCTGAGTCAGTTCGTCTTCTTCCTCGCTTCCCCGACACTCTTCCTTTCTCCTCCTCAGCCGACAGACGTAAAGTGCGATGAGAGAATTCTCCAGCTGCTGCTTAAATATCATCGGAACGACAGCGGGAAAAAGTTTGGATCACGTTTGTGTCCGTGGCGTAACGACAAAACCAAGACGATAAAAAAGTGTGCGTTTTCTTCCGGTCGACGTAAATACGTTCGCGTCTCTGTCCAATCAGAACCCTTCCCGACCCGCAGACATTGAGCGGAATTAAATAAAGCCGGTTTAACGTGTTTTCCATGTTCGGAATTATTATCTCCATGTAAACTCGAAGGAGAATATTTTGAATTCCGAACTATTTAATTCAGAAAAAGTAAAAAAACTTCATGTAAACGTGGCCATCATTCAAAAGAAAGTATTTAATGTTGAAAACCACATTCTGTTGTCTAAAGAAAGTGTTTTTTTTTTTCTTTTTTTTCTTATTTTCGTGGTACCGGAATGAATATTGAGCATAAAGTCTATTTCTTTGTTTAAAAATCAAGAATTTTTTTAGATCGCGACAACACTGACCTAGACACGCCTGAAAAAAGTGAAAACTGTGAGGAAGAAAGCGAGAGAATAAGAGCGAGAGATAGAGAGAGGGAGGAGAGGGCATTTGTGTTCATATATTCTGACAGGTTTATTTAGGAATTTTATGTAAATTTCGACACAGAACCGCAGACAAATTTGTGTTTCTTTTTCACGACAAATGCAATTACTCACCTATATTTAAATCTTCCTCGCGTCTCTCCTCCTCACGCTCATTAGTCTAAACTCGGTCCTTTGGGAGGGAAGAATGGAGGGATGAGGAAGAGGAGGAGGAGTGGATAGTGATAGTCGCAAGGCTTCAAGGTAACATTTAGGTGCCTTTAATTAGGACAGGTCCGTTGTCATGGCGATTTTTAGCGGCGATTGATGAATGATTCGGTCCTTTGTTCGGGAGACACGGGGGACGAGAGGTGTCACGGGACGGAGGGGAAGAGGGGATCTGGGAGAAGAGATAGTGGGAGAGAGAGAGAGGGAGAGATGGAGAGAGAAAGAGGGAAGTTAGTGCGAGAGAGAGAGAGAGAATGAGAAAAAAAACAAGGGATGAGAGATGGATGGAGGAAAATGGAGATGGAAAGGTAAGAGGGAAAGGGATGAGAAAGAGGAAGGGGGGATGGAGGAGAGGAGGAGAGGGAAAATGTGAGGAGAGAAGGAGGAGAGAGAGAGAAAGACAAAACAGGGATGAGAGGGACAGAGAACGAGAAAAGAATGAGGGGGTAGAGAGAGATGGAGGAGAGAGACGAGACGGAGAAAGAGAAAAGATGAGAGGAGAGAGGGAGAAAGGGGATAGAGAGAGATGGAGGAGAGGGAGAAAACAGGGATGAGAGAGACGGAAAAAGAGAGAGGAAGAGAGGGTGACAGAAAGACTCAAGAACGAAAGGGGATGGAGAGAGACGGAGGAGAGAGAAAGAAAAAAGGGACGAGAGAGACGGAGAAAGAAAAAGAAAGAGGAGAGAGGGAGACAGAGGAAAGACATAAGAACGAAAGGGGATGGAGAGAGACGGAGGAGAGAGAGAAAGAGAAAAACAGGGATGAGAGAGACGGAGAAAGAGAAAGTAAGAAAAGAGAGCGGGAGGCAGAGAAAGACAAAAGAATGAAAGGGGAGAGAGAGAGAGAGAGAAAGAGGGGAGAGAGGGAGAGAAAGAAATGAGAATGAAAGGGTAAAGAGACAGATGGAGGAGAGAGAGAAAAACAGGGATGAGAGAGACAGAGAAAGATTAAGAGAAAGGAGAGAGATGGAAAAAGAAGAGAAAGGGAGACAGAGAAAGACATAAGAATGATAGGGGATAGAGAGAGATGGAGGAGAGAGAGAGAAAAAAGGGATGAGAGAGATGGAGAAAGAGAAGGAAAGAGAAGAGAGAAGGAGACAGAGAAAGACATAAGAATGAAAGAGAAAGAAAGAGAGGAGAGAGATGAAGAAAAAGAAAGAAAGAGAGGAGAGAGGGAGACAGAGAAAGACATAAGAATGAAAGGGAAGATAGAGATGAAGAGAAGAGAAGAGAGGGATAAAGAAAAACAGGGATGAGAGAGAAAGAGAAAGGAAGAGAGGAGAGAGAGAGAAAGGAAATAGAGCAAGAGAGAAAAAACAGACAGATGAGACAGACAGAGAAAGAGAGAGGAAGAAAGGAGTGAAAGAGACAGAGAAAGATGGAAGAGAGAGAGAGAAAAACAGGGATGAGAAAGAAAGAAAGAGAGCAGAGAGGGAAACAGAGAAAAACAAAAGAATGAAAAGGGATAAAGAGAAGGAGGAGAGTGAAAAACAGGGTGGAGAGAGCGAAAAAGCAAGACGTAGGGTGAATTCAAAAGAGAGAGAGAGAGACGACAAACCAGACAACGAGAGTGAGAGAGAAAAAACAGGTAGAAAAGGAGAGGAAAAGGAAAGAGAGAGGGAAAAAAGTACACAGAAAGTACAGAGGGACAGAGAGAGAAAGAAGAGATGAAGTGTGTGTGTGTGTGAGTGTTTGAGGGGACAGTGGAAGAGAAAGAGAGTGAGCGAAAAGATAGGACAGAGGAGAGAGAGAGAGAGAGAAAGAAAAAGAGGATAAGAGAGATACTAGTTAGGCATGTGGCTGTTGAATTAAACATGAATCCTTCGTTAAGGCCAGTAGACAAAAGGACAGCAAACACACACACACACACACACACTGTCACACACTGTTACACGCGCGGTCTTTTTTCCTCGGTTACCTTGTCAAAGACGCGTTCAAAGACATTTCTGGGTGAGATTTTCCGTCCCGAGGGGAATGTCGAAGTTTTATCGTCGTCGCTAGCAACGCGCCAAGGATACGAGACTTAACCCCTCGCATCCCGACGCTCCCGAGGATGGAACACGTCTGGCACCTGTGGCTAAAAAAAAATCCGTGTATCATTCGTTCATTTGTTTTTCAATATAAAACCAAAAATAAGAAAACGAAAAAAGTAAAATAACTATTTTCTTCATTATTTGTCTCCAAAAAAAAAATTAAAAAATGAAAAAACACGGATAATGATTCGTTTTTTTCATTTTTCGATTTTGTGTTTAAATGAAGAATAACGACTGTTTACATGACTTAAACTGTGATGCTGGACTTTTGCACCGGATTACGGACAGAACCAGGTCCTCGACCAGACTGGAACCAGGACTGCGACCGGGACTGACACTGGGACCAGACCAGGACTGACAGTTTAGTCCTGGTTTAGTTCTGGTTTAGATTTAGATTTATTTATTGTCATTGTATGAAATACAACGAAACTCGGGAATTGTTGCCAACACAGATTATATGACTCTTCACTGATTGGCTGGAGCCCGAACTGCACTTCCAGGGGTTTTTGTGAACCGTCTAGTGTATTCCGATTCCTGACCTAGTCGCTGGAGAGAAATGAAACTGAGCGGAGGCACTAGGTGGAGCTTGGGTGTACACTGCAAAAACTTTGATTAGTTTAAAGTTCTGAATGTTAATCATAATTTGAGTCGTTTTGACAAGCTTAGATGTATTTAGTCAGTGAATCAGGATCATTTCATTGGTTTTAATAGAAGTTATAATGTTGCTGCCTCATCACAAACAGACCTGGAATTGTGTTTTGTTTCATTCAAGTCATTGAACTCTGAAATTTTACAATTTGGTCGACCTTTACACTTTGAAAATCATGTTCAAAACAACAATCTCTTGTCAAAATCATTACAGGACATGTTCAAAATCCAAAATAGCCAATATGAGCTTCATGTTTATCAAAAAGAAAATCAGAACAAACATTATGAAATTGTGTAAATCTGTTAAAGAGATGAAGCTCTGGAACAATTGTACAGAAGGCCTAAATTTGTGCTCGACTCTCTTCCAGTTTATAAAGAAGCTTAAATGTTTAACTCTGGGCGGATACATGAATTATGATACTTAGTTTGTGCTGTAGGACTTTGTTGTTCTGTTACTGATTTGTTTGTATTTATGAAGATGAACTGGTGTCAAGATAAAGGAATAAAGGGTAAAAAGGCAGAATAATTTCAAGCTTTAGCCTACACATTTTCGGTAAATAATGTCTGAATATACCTGTGACCGAAATCAATCAATCAGTTCACACATGTTTCACTACAATCATTTGGATAAATTTCAGACCTGGAATTGCCAATTTATTCTGTACAAAAGGTAAAAGGAGATGTGGACAGCCTAATATTGCAGGATTACTCAAACAAAACACAACTCCAGGTCTGTTTTTAATGACATAACAACATTATAACATGTTTTAAAGCTCACAAGAGTCAATTTTGCGTAATAAATTACCTTTAAGTATTTTTAACACATACTCTATCATATTTGCAGTGTAAAAGTAGCAGTAGCATCCTCCGTCTGAAATAACCTCATGTTGTTTTTGTGTTTTTCTCTTCCCAGGAGACCACCAGATCGTGCAGCTGTATCTCAAGTCGAAGGAGACGGGCCTGGCTTTCGCAAACACCAGTTTTGTTTTCTACAACTGCAGCGTCCATAAGTCGTGAGTCTTTTACCTGGACCGGAACACACTTAGCTCCGTGGACATTTGGTGACATTTACAGTCCATTCATATCAGAGATTCTCACTAAGGCTGAGGCACCATATGGGTCAGAGCATTACTGCCTTGGCATTTGGTACAGCAGCCTCTTATTAAAGCTCTAGTCTACGTTATAGATTGGTTTATGTAAGAACTGATGGACTTGTTTATGCACGAGCGGAGGATTTATATGGCACAGGTGGTTTTCTGGTATGAGGTTTACAATTTAATACAATTATTCTTAAGCAAATTGGTCCTGAAAGTTCAAATTTCTCTAATAATAAAAAGATATTTACCCCATCAAGTTATTTTTTATGAATTTATACATTTAGGCAAGGCAAGGCGAGTTTATTTCAAGTAATTCAAAGTGCTTTACGGAATAAGAAATACATTAAAATCACAATAAAAACATAAATAATCATCATAAAAAAAAATAAAAAGAAGGAGACATTAAGTTAGAGAGAAGAGTGCGGAATGAAAAATGAAAACTTTTCAGTCAGAACTCGGAAACATTTAACATCGAATTGCACAACAACAAACGCATAACTTGACATTAAACATTACATCTATTTAAATTACATTACAAATTGATAGATTTTTTTAAATGAATAAATAAATAAATAGGTCACACATGCTGTTTTGTTTCATTATTGAATTCAGTTATTGAATTTAGTGAATTTTTTGTTTTGTTTTTTACATAGTTTGACTAGTAAAAGAAAAGCAAGAACATTTTTATTTTTATTTAACAATGTCTAACGGTATAGTACATTTTGCAGTAATATCCTCCTGAGACCCGGCCCATTCATTTGTGTCCTTTATAGTGGATATTGACTTAACCAGTCTATATTTTAAGTCTTTTGAGATAGACTCTTAATGGGAGGACTATGATCCTCTGCCTAAATAGGGCTGGGGATTATCGAGTACTATCACGTCCAGGATTTTAAAAAAAAAAACAAACTCAATTTTGTAACTCAAGTTTGTGGCTGCACTATGATTAACATTTTAAAAAAGAAATCAAAAGGGAGTCTAAAAACGTTTTGAGGCGACTGTAGAAGCTTGTCAGAGATGTTGGTCATCAAAAAAGTTGTTTGCGTTAAGTTGTTAACGTCACATAGCTTGATTCATCAGCTGGTTTCACTTCGTAGAAACCGTCTGACCTCGCAGCATTAGGATTCGTTCGCTCGACGGTAGGAGGGTACTGTTTTTATTTAACCAGTCGCTGCTATTTAGTCCCAAATCCCGTAGGAAAAAGGCCAATAACGTCTTTCCCCTTGATAAAACTCATCGAACGTTCTTTGTTCCGGCGTTAAATCCTCGATCTCGGGAATCGTTACCAACACAGAAAGTATAGCTCTTCGCTGATTGGCTGGTGCCCGGACTCGCACTTCTGGGGTTTTTGCGAACCGTTTAGTGTATTCCGATGCCTGACCTAGTCACTGGAGAGAAATTTAATTGAGCGAAGGCACTAGATGGCGCCAAAACGTCCATTACAGAGGACATGTTACAAAATTATGAATAAAAATGAAAAATGACAAAAATATATATATATTGCAATACACTTTTTTTCCTTGGGGTCCCAGGAGGATATCATGATACAGAACACCTCTAGCTCTAAAGCAAACATTAATATTCAGCATGTTTTTATTAATAAGTTATTTCTCTCTCTCTGTCTGTGTGTGTTTCCGTGCAGATGTCTGTCCTGTGTGAGCAGTCCATACGAGTGTCACTGGTGTAAATACAGACACGGCTGCACCCACGACCCCACCACCTGCTCTTTCCAGGAAGGACGTGTCAAGAAGCCCATGGTACGTCCACATTCTTCGCTCTAAAACCACGACAAAGGGCTGTTTTTTGAGGCAGAAGTAGATCAGTCTCGTCAGATTACGGAAGCTGAGCAAAGTCCAGGTCTGGTTAGTACAGAGAGAGAAGCTGTGGGGTAAACACCAGGTGTAGTGGAGGAGCAGTGGCTCTGGTGCAAACTGTTGTTGTGTCTTTTGGCCAGACACTTGCCCACGTTGCCTGATATGAATGTGGAGTGAGCATGAGTGATGGCGGTGGGTGGAGGGGCAGATGGTGCAGATTGGCAGCCTCGCTTCCATCAGTCTACCCCAGGGCAGCTCTGACTACAACAGTAATAGTTATACTTATAGTTACAGTAATAGTAATAGTTACAGTAATAGCAATAGTTATAATAATAGTATTTATAGTAATGTTATTGTTATAGTAATAGTTATAGTAATAATCATAGTTATAGTAATAGTTATGGTAATGATAATAGCAATAGTAATAGTTACAGTAATAGTTACAGTAATAGTTATAGTAATAGTTGTAGTAATAGTTACAGTAATAGTTACAGTAATAGTTACAGTAATAGTTATAGTAATAGTTACAGTAATAGTTATAGTAATAGTTGTAGTAATAGTTACAGTAATAGTTATAGTAATAGTTACAGTAATAGTTACAGTAATAGTTATAGTAATAGTTACAGTAATAGTTACAGTAATAGTTACAGTAATAGTTATAGTAATAGTTATAGTAATAGTTATAGTAATAGTTACAGTAATAGTTGTAGTAATAGTTATAGTAATAGTTGTAGTAATAGTTACAGTAATAGTTACAGTAATAGTTATAGTAATAGTTATAGTAATAGTTACAGTAATAGTTATAGTAATAGTTATAGTTACAGTAATAGTTACAGTAATAGTTACAGTAATAGTATAGTAATAGTTATAGTAAGTAATAGTTAGTAATAGTTATAGTAATAGTTGTAGTAATAGTTATAGTTGTAGTAATAGTTACAGTAAGTTACAGTGATAATTATAGTAATAGTTATAGTAATAGTTATAGTAATAGTTACAGTAATAGTTACAGTAATAGTAATAGTAATAGTTATAGTTATAGTTACAGTAATAGTAGTAATAGTATAGTAATAGTTAATAGTAATAGTATAGTAATAGTTGTAGTAATAGTTACAGTAATAGTTACAGTAATAGTTACAGTAATAGTTACAGTAATAGTTACAGTAATAGTTACAGTAATAGTTACAGTAATAGTTATAGTAATAGTTGTAGTAATAGTTACAGTAATAGTTACAGTAATAGTTACAGTAATAGTTATAGTAGTAATAGTTACAGTAATAGTTACAGTAATAGTTATAGTAATAGTTATAGTAATAGTTACAGTAATAGTTATAGTAATAGTTACAGTAATAGTTACAGTAATAGTTACAGTAATAGTTATAGTAATAGTTACAGTAATAGTTACAGTAATAGATATATAATAGTTAAGTAGTTATAGTAGTATAGTAATAGTTACAGTAATAATATAATAATAGTTACAGTAATAGTTATAGTAATAGATATAGTAATAGTTACAGTAATAGTTACAGTAATAGTTATAGTAATAGTTATAGTATCCATCCATTTTGTTCTGCTTCTCTGGGGACATCAGTCTAAGCAGGGACTCCCAGACTTTCTTAACCCGGACACTTCCTCCGGCTCTTCCTATTACTATTACTATTACTATTACTATTACTATTACTATTACTATTAGTAATAATATTAATAGTAATAACAGAGTGTGGAGTGAATTAATAATGCAGTGTAAAGCGCTTTGGGCGTCTATATATCCAGTGTTTTATCATTATTATAATTGGCAAATTACAGCTTTAACTAGAGAATTTCAAACGTTATATGAGCATTTTGGGGATTTAGTAATAAAACTACTTACTAGTGATTTTTGTGAAGCTGTTCTGTAAGAATAAATAGTCAGTCGGATCCATTTTGTCATACATAAATTGTGTGTTTAAGGATGTAAATGTTATTTTCATTCTACTGGCAGATAGGCCCAGAGCGTTGATTCTGGTATCAGACCTGAAAAAGATGGATTAGTGTGTCTATTATAACAAAGTAGTAGTGCTTGTATTGATCGAAAACAGCCTCTTCCCATGAAAAGAACGGAAGAATAGCCAGACACAAGTGGGCCAGGATATGAATATAATACAGCATGTGCTTGGTTATCCGGCATGACACCTCCAGTGACTAAGTGCGTTTTTTGCTGCCTCACGCTGAGCTGTTGAAATCACTATAACGTCTCCTCTGCTTTATTCCTCAACACATGACTCTTCGCTCTTTTATCTCTACCTTTTCTTTAGCTTTCAGTTCTTCTTTACACCGGCGGGTAAATAAAATAAATGTGGCTGAATGTTCGTCTGCGTGACACTAATAGCTTCCATTGAAGGTTTTAGGGCAAAGCGAATTGAAAGACTACAGACACCTTCCATCTGGCTCTGGCTCTTTTGGCTTGTCTCTCTGTTGACTGCACTTCAAAGCGCAAACTAATAAAAAACACAGCCATTTCCTCTCGCCCGGCCCTCCTCTCTGCCAAAGCTTAGTCTCCCTGAATTATCAATAGTATTGGCAGATCTCCTATTCCTTTGCGCTGTAATGAGGCCGGTCCGCTGCTCGGGCCATAGACTCCTGACCAAACGGACGGCAGCTGTGAATACCTCAAAATCCTATACAGGCGGTTCTTGTGAAACAGGATTGAGTTTATGTTGTTTTGAAAAAAGGTAATAATGGCTGGTTTTTGAGCTTATCTCACAGCAATGCACATGTCTCTGCTAAATATATAGAAATAAATAGTTTTATAGCTCAAAAATACCTTAAAAACAAGGCATTCTGACTGTGAACGGGGTTGCTTTTCCACAGATCTGACCTGTAACTTGGTCTGGTTTGGTCTCCCTCTCCATTAATTTGACCAAAATTTGTCTTACCCCATTACAGATCTTTTGTATTGATCAAAATATATCAGTTGCGTGCTGTATGTGTCTAATTATTAAGTGTTTTTATGTTCCCATGATCAGGAATTGAGCGTAAGCATGCTAGTTGTTTTTGTTGTTAGCTTTACCACTCTGATGCCTTAAAGTAAAAGCACTTATAAACTCATTGTGGTGAATAATTGGTGCTTGGTATGCATAAGTTAAAGGTGCACTGTGTAAATTTTCTATTGGAGAGTCTGTCACCTTCTTGTCTCCATGGAGATATTACTGTTTTTGCCTGGGAATAAACTTGGTAATCACAATGAGGGCAGGTTAATGATTAGATCTATGGAGAATCAAGCCCGTATATAGTAAGAATTTATAGTTTTTAAGGTATTTTTGAGCAATAAAACAGCTGTAATTGAACTACCGTATTTTTTGGACTATAAGTCGCTCCAGAGTGTAAGTCGCACCAGCCAAAAAATGCGTAATGAAAAAGAAAGAAAAAAAACATATAGAAGGGCAAGTTATAGTAAAAACAATAGAACAGAGAACAACAGGCTGTTAACGTCACATATGAACAGTTCTTCAGATAATTATATCATAAACAACAGAACAGAACAAGTTTACCAAACTCTCCATCTCACTCCAAATCACTAAATCTATTCAATTCTTGATCCTCTGTGTCACTTCTGAGCAACTCCGCGAACTCTGGAGGTAAACAGAGCGCCACTTCCTCTTCTGTGTAGCTGTCGTCAGATTCAGCATCAGTTCCAGTTAGAATTATTCCGGCCTTTCTGAATCCTGACAGGATGGTCTTGGTGTCACTGAAGTCCAGGTTTTGTCCATCCATCCAATGACTTCCAGGAAAGTTGCAGGGTGCAGCCTCCCGCTTGTCACAAGTTTCTCACTCACTCCAAACTTTCTTACTACTGCTTGATTACCGCTTTCTGCTGCATATTTCACTACTTGCAGCCTGTAATCTGCAAAATATGATTTTCTTTTTGGAGGCATTTGTGTTCAGTCTTCTCATATGTCTTAATAAGTTTGTTTAAATTGGTACAGAAGTAATGGTGCGATTGACTGACATGATACAGACAGGACAGTGGCTCTTTCTGCAGGAGACATGCGCAGTAGAGTGAAGTGACAGTAGCAATAGGAGCAGCAGATACTGGCACAAAAACCTTGCGTCTGTCAGTGTCAAAATTTTAATATATATGTCGCACCAGAGTATAAGTCGCAGGAAATGCCCAGACCATGAAAAAAAGTGCGACTTATAGTCTGAAAAATACGGTATCTAGAAAAACAAGCATTCTGACTGTGAGCTGGGTCTCTTCTCCACAGATCTGCCCTGTAACTTGGTCTGGTTTGGTCTCCATGAAGACCGAAACATTAAACATTCCGACTCTATTTTTGGTTCCACATTACAGCTTAAAGTCAGTTAACCACCACTCTAAAACCCGTGAAAACTTTCTCGGCGCACGGCTCTGACTTTGATACAGTACATCTCTATTTGACTCATTAAAATGTGTGCGAGAGTGTGTGAATGGACTTATCTTGATACGCCGTCTCCCGCTGCTCTTACCAATTTACTGTGGTCTGCGGAGGAGGGCTGAACAGCAGTTAGTGCCCTCTTAATCCTAGCCCGAGGTCCCCATGATCAAGATCACTGGAGCTCACATCCTGCTCGCCAGATACTTGCTGCAATGGACTAAGCCAGATTGCCTTCTTTTGATGCGTCGCCCCTTTCCTTAATTGTGTTATTCTCGCCGTGTTTTCCCCCCCGAAGCCATTCAACCTGTCCAGACGATAATATTTTCCTTATTTCTGTCAATTCCATTATCCTTCTGCACCTTCTGCTTAGTCAGGGCAGTCTTTGCAGGTTTACTTTTCCAATTAACTCCTGCGCCGTGTGGTCAATATTGACTGAGGATAATAATGTGTGAATCCTCCTTCCATTGTGTTGCTGACTAAAAAGAAAAGCGCAAATAAAAAGCCAGAGAGGGATTTGGTATTAGCACATTAATGGGTTCCCCCCTTTTGCTG